AAAGGGTGTAACCAATCTCGCTTCCAGTTATTGCTTCTAACATGCTTTCCTTTGACCTTTATTTTATTTTGCTCCTGGGGGGAATCCCCCCTCCCTCTTCCACCAACTCTGATTGTGGAGACAAGTCCCAAAATGTGGAGGCCAAACAGGAGCCGAGAATTTTGCTTTGGTCAAAAGGTCGGTTGTTTCCTATCCGAGATTACTACCGGGTTTGGTTCCGTCTTTGCAACAAGCAACAAATGAAGCAATAACTGGAAGCGAGATTGGTTACACCCTTTAATGACCTGGGCGGGGCCTCCCGTTGGGCCTCTTTTCCTGCCCAGGTACAGTGAAGCGATATGAGGTCGGCTGCAGGTGGACATGGGTGGCGGTGGAAGGGAGGAGGCGGCTGGCTTAGGTCAAGCACGTTTCCCTTCCTTCCAGGAAGGCTAAAAAAGCAAAGCTTTTTTCTTTAGCTCGTTGCGTTTCCAAAGTGCAAGTCGCTCAAACTGTTCAAGGCTCATTTTGAAGACCTCCTGAAACTCCTGGGAGGACAGGTGGTGCTTGAAAACAGAGAAGAAGACGCTGAGTGAGTAAAGAGAGGCGGGAGGATCCACCCTTTATGCAGCGGACCAGAAGCCAAAGAGACCTGAGACCTTGTGGATCAATCCACAACTTCTGTTTACAGAGCAAGAACAGCTTATTCAGTTAAGGAGCCTTTCTTAGGCCAGATGGCACCCGAAAGGTGTCCCCCCCACACCCCTCCCAGCCGAGCTCCAGAGGAAACTGTCTGTACAAATGGGCCACTCTGTGGTAGGTAGCTAGGAAGGAAGGAAGGAAGGAAGGAAGGAAGGAAGGAAGGAAGGAAGGAGAGGGAAGAGGGAGGGAGGGAGGAAAACTCACAAACAGGAAGACTCCTCTGAATCTGCCTCTGGAACATCCATTTCTCTCATGTCCATATGAAAACACACACATTTTACTCACTGCCTGTCCTGTCATCTCTCCCTCTCCCACCCATCTCCTTCTCCCATTTCATCTGTGGAAGCATCACACCATCAAAGGGGATTTTCCAAGAGTCAAGGGAACCGTTCCCCCCGGAGAGATTGCCATCTAATTATATAGCTTGTGCACAATGGCACCTCCCCCCCCCTATTTTACCAGGATTGTAGAATTAAGGGAAAAGCACAAGCTAAGAAGCACCAGGGAAGGTTTCTCCTACCAACCTCACCACCTTGAAGCCTAAAAGGGTGAGGGGGGGGACAGTTCCATCCCATGTGGGCTCTCCACTTGGATGAAGCTCTGTATCTTTGTCACTACAGTTGTTGCATGGCAGAACCTCAGGACGACATGAAGGCATTCTGGAGATTTCAGTCACGTGGACCACCAATCTCAGCCATCTCCTAGTCTGGAATGTTGTTCCAGAAGGTTCTAGCCAGGAGCTGAACAGATAACGTGCCTTCGGGTGAGCACCCGCAAGGCAAAAGAGCGGAGGGAGCTGCCGCCTGGTGCTGGTGCTGGTGCTGGTGCTGGGAAGAAACTTCTGGAAAGGCTCTGCCCCTGTTCCCCTTCCTTTTCCTAAGCTCCCGGGGCAGACAGCAGCAGCAGATGCCCCCCCCTCCCCCCCACGTGCCCCTTGCATGGGTGCCACAGGACTGAGCCCCCTAGGCGGAGGGTACCAGGAATTGGGGATGGGCCACAAACGATGGATTTGCAGAGCTAAATGGAAGGCTCTACATTTCCCTTCTCCTCTTTATCAGCTGCCTTTCCTGATGGAGAAGACAGATCGACCAACAACATTTTCTATGGCCAAAGTTGAGAGTTTTCAAAAATTAAACGAAATGCTTATTAAATGGACTATGTTTTTGTTGCTTTCTTTCTCTCTTTCTTCATTTTGCAGCAAATAAATAAATTAAGGAAACAGCAAAATAGACATGGCTACGTCCTTTACAGAATTCAATATTGCTCCAGTCCATAAATCTTTTTTTTTTTTTTGTTAAGCTTGCAGGTAAATCTCATTCATCCATTATAGTGGGGTGGGGTGTGTGTGTGTGTGTGTGTGTGTGAGAGAGAGAGAGAGATGGGGGGGGGAGACTTACATTTATAAAGCATAGAGTTTAAGGTTCATTGGAATTTTAATCATTTAGTCAGTTTTCGGGCATAGTTTTCGGGCAAATTAACGAATAGTTGGCAAA